AAGCTGGGCTTGTAAAGGGGAAAAAAAAAAGCATTTACTAGAGCAGTAAGATCAAATCTTGAAGTGAGCAAGGAAAGTAAGTCCAGAATTCTCCTCCTATGTTCACCTGAATCACTGAGCAAACACTGCAAACCATGCAGTGTTGTTAATGAAAAACAAGCAAACAAATGACCCACACATTTGACCATAGGTTGAATTCTTCTCAGGTGTAAATCTTAAAAAGTTAACTTCAATGGGGTTACCCCAGACCAGTGCCAATATAACCGAGAATTTGTACACACACTGACACATGCTGTTCATTCGCGTGAGCACAGCTATGTAATTAGCATATAGACATGGTACAGAAATCACCTTCAAATTTCAGCCTTAGGAATTAGATTATCAGCCTGGTGAAAACTGAAGTCTTTTGCCACAGGTCAGCATTATCAGTGAGACTGCAAGCTCCCCACAACAGTCACAAGAATCACATCCTTAATCTAGAGGGACAAAAGATGCTCTGGTCAGTTTTCATTCCCCCTTTTAGCTTTGACCAATTTGCTGACAGCCAATAAAGGAGCAGTATCATAGTTTTGTGCTAAGGACACAGGAACGTAAAACAGGAAGGAGCCTCCTGGGCCATCACATCCAGTCCCTCTGTGTTCACAGGCAATCACTTACCCAAGCAAGCCGCTTCAGCCCCTCACACACAACCACAAGACAGAATACCCCAAATACCAGAAGTACTCTATACAACATGCCATAAACCAGAGCAGTCCAACTGGCAGCCCCAAGTCTACATAGGACCCCTAAAGTGACCCTTGCATGTGGCCCAGGGGCTCCCATCCAGCCACCATTTCTCACCTGCCCTGCCATTGCTCCTGTTGTGGCAGCAGTGTTCTTTGGGCTCCCCCTCTGCTTCCTGCCCTCTTTCCTGAGTTGTGGCAGCACAGTGGGAGGGCCTGCAGTGCCCATAGTGCAGGTGTGGTGGTGGGTGGGGGAGAGGGGGCAGAGTGCCTGTGCTACACACAAAACAAAGAAAGTCTCCAGGTTGCCCACACTGCAGGTGGGTGGTGCACTTGGCCACGGGAGAAGGGTGCTGCATCTGCAGCAGGATGGAGCTGGGCTGCCTGTGCTGGCGGTAGGGAGGATCAGCCAGGCTACCAACATGGTGCACAGGGCAGGGGGCACACTGGGCTGCCTGCACACCGGGAGAGAGTGGGAAAGGAGCAGCCCACACAGCAAGTGACTCTTTGGTCTGCATCCCATACCTCATGCGGACCCTAGGACTGGGACCCACATGGTATATTGCCTCTGGCTGCCCAGAAGTTGGACAGCCCTGTCATAAGCAAAAGCCAAAGCTTTGTCTCTGCAACAGCAGGAAAGAAGCTGGTTAATTTAACAGTTCTTTATGCATACCCTGACATTCCCAGAAGCCCACCAACAGATAGCCTGGCAGTCAAGTTGGGAAGTCTAAACTTTCCTATGGAAGGGAGGCACTTAGCTAGCCATACAATGCCATATACATCTGTTAGAGTCACCAGGTTAGTTTGCAGAGTTTCCATGGTCCAGTGTCCATGGAAGAGGGGCTTTCTGCTATGTAGTCTTAAATTAATTAATGTACTCTCCTGCCATGTTCATCAGCAGAGCTGAACTAAAACTCATCCAGATCTACAGTTCAACCTCACCACAACCAAAATTTGGTTGCATTTTAATTCAGCCTTTCATTTTGTCTTGTTTCAGAGATAGGGGGCAGATTCAGAGTGTGATCAAGATTCAGATTCCCAAACATCTCCCAGAAAGTTTAGGGAGTTCAGATCTGGTCTTTCAGTTCATACCCCATCTCTAGTTTTCAAACAGAAAGCAGACCTGGCAGACATATAATGGAAGAATATATAAACAGCAGTGAATATACAACCATGACCCTGTACTGCTAATTCACACATCTATAAGAACTATGGGCCAGATCCTGCTCCACCTAAATGGATTTAAGTACCTAAGTATCATTCTGTTTGCAGAGGCACAGAATGGCAGCTCCACACCCAGGGCAGCTGCAATGTACAAAGCAGAGCTGGCTTCTGATGTGCCAATTGCACACTTTCCCCCTAAAAGACAGCACCTGAGGTTGCCCTGACTGCCCCCTCAGTTATGCTACTGACAATTCCACCCTACTTGAGTCTGTGGAAAACAGTTAATGAAAGGTAGGACAGGTAATTCTCCTATTTGCTGCTTTTTGTGATAGTCTTAAATCTGACATGATGGTATGTTTAAAAAGTGCATTAATGTTTTTTCAGGGCTTTGACCAGGGTGGATTAAGATCACAAATAGGCATTTAAGTACACCCTAAAATCCAGCTTTGCCTAAACATTGGGGAATAGTTAATCTATACTACAAAAAGTCACATTCTTTTTTACATTCATATTTCAGACTTTAAGACCCTCTAACAGCAAAAATATTCATTATAAGAATTTACCAAGGGGACAAACATATGAGTTTGTTTCAGTTAAGCTTGTCAATATTTTTGTCTCTTGTAAAATCTGTTTTTGGTTCTTTCCAGAAGTGTAAAGTATCAAAAAAATTAACTCACAAGGGCCCTCAATGGAACTTTATGTCTGGAGCTCAGATATGCAATTTTTTGTTTTATTTCTATGATTAACAAAAGTTCAATAGGAATTCACATTTATTTAGATTTTTAATTTGTTTAAAGGTTATCACGTCAAATTAAACTACTATCAAGGGTCAGATAAAGTATGCATTACCTACCAGTACACACACACACAAATACATTCTATATACAAATAAATATACATATAAATCTATATATTGATTTAAGTGCTTAAGAAAGGAGCCAGCCTATTTCATAAGTGGAACTTGGAGGATGGCTTTGTAGTGATAACTGGATACTATGATCATATCTCCTTACCTGAGAAGAGGACAACAATGCAATTGAATACCCTCCCCCTCAAAGGAGAGGGACACAGAATCCAATAACTGACAGACTCTGGGAAACAAATGGAAAAAAAAGAATGGGAGAACAATTAATGGGGTAAAAATGGAGGATCCCAAACAGAACACCAATTTGTGAACCTTAGGCAATGCCTATTCTTCCAAGGAGTTGGTGGATGCATCAAAGGAACTTAACCCAGGAAAAGGACATGTAGGAATGGACAAGATACTGGAGAAAAGGGAATTCTGGAGAATGTAGGTATGAATCCATAAGAGACCCATGCCCCCAAATGAGGGAAGTGCCACAGGACCACAAATCGTGTAATACAGGAAAGAGAAGGGAAAACAGAGTGCAGGTTATTGGGCCAAAAGGGGCCATGAAGTCGGCACTAAAAAGAGAACCCTTTCTCCAAGGAGATGTCCAAGGATGATGCTCAGTAGGATTCTGCCCAGATGTGTGAACTAATGGGGATGAAAAATGGAAGGCAACACTGGAGCTAAGTTCTCAACATAGTGAGAGAGCAACTAAGAATGGGGTAATGCAACATTGCTTGCCAATTCTGAGCCTCAAACATTCTCAAAACAGTATGAGTCATTCATTCTCTATGTTCACTTGGTCCTTGGCCTCTGGTAAAACTGCCAAGTATGAAGTTGAGCATCAGGTAATAGCTTTTGGTCACTGGCATGCAGAAAAGCAATCTAATAATGAAAACACCTTCTCTCCCATTGCTAGGGCCTTAAGCCATCTGTTCCCCATTTGATGGACTTAACATTGATGTTTCACAACCTGATTCTTTTTCATTCAAATTATTATTTTACTGAGGCACAGCACACTTATGTACAAGCTGCAGGCTCAAAAACACCAAAACCCGCCATGTCTCCTTCAAACTGCAACATGTATGAATAATATCCAAGCTGATTTTAATTTGAAAAATATCACCTTAAAAAGATGCCAGTTCCCTGCTGTGAAAATTAAAACCATCTGGATGGAGTGAATTCCAATAATTAATCTAGCTCTCCTTTGACACTGCTACTAATTAAAATATGATAGCCCCTTTTTTCAAATAAAGAATTTAAATAAAGTTTAAATATCTAATAAAAGAACATAATAATGTTAGAAATAAATGGAACTTACCTCTCCTATACTCTCCTTGGGCCACAAAAGGTTGTGCCTGTACCTTTCCATTACCCTGCATTTGCACCAAAACAGGACCTGAGAGCAGCAGCATGGATGGGAAAATGTCAAGAGTGGCATTTACACCAAAAAACCAGGGCCCACCAAAAATCACAAAGGATCTCTCAAGCTCTAAATGTATTTATTTAGGACAAGATATTCAAAAATATTGGTATATAAATCTTTTGGTAGGAGCCTACATGAGGTGCCTGGTTTTCAAAAAATGCTGAGCACGTAGCAGCTCTCCTTGAATTTGATGGGAGCTAGTTCAGCACATTAGAAAATCAAGACCACAGTTAGGTGCATATTCATGGACTCAAGAGACTTGCATATGCACTCATTTTTATAAAACTGTTGGTCATATACTCCTCAGTTGTTAAAAGGTTATTACCTAAAATAAAACTTTTATTTGAATTATTTTTTATAATAGATAACACTTTCATAATATACTGCCCAGTCCTGTATCTAGATCCTACCCAGGTCATTATTTAGGATACTAAAGGCAGATGGATTTACAGTTGGGATTTTTTCCTTTTAACAGTACTTCATTGCTTCCAGGGGTCAGAAAAACACGGACCTGACATCTCAGATAAAGTTCAATCCTGCTTCCACAAATGTCAGTGGAAACTTTAGCATAACACATACAAAACAAAGAAAATAGCATAAGCTTCCACATATTGTTTTGTCCACGTGTCTCAATGTTTCTCCATAAGAGCCAGCCTGAAACTTGCTCTTAGTTACACTGGAGTAGTCTTAAGTCACTGGGGGCGCATCTATATGTGCAATTAAGTCGAGTTTATTGCTTCCTGGGCATCCTGTTTACACATACACCTGGTAATGCAGCATGTTGAGCTGGGTTGGAGCAGCCCCAGCTGACTGTGGGCCCAGGGG